AGGAGGCGAGGAGTCGAGGAACTGAGATAGCGTGATGTGTAAACGGTCATCAGAACCGAGCTCGGCCTGGTTAACTGATCCAAGCTCGGACCGGTCTAAGCATGGTTCGGTTTTTCAAGGGTAGTGTAAATAGGGTATATTTTACCTTTTAAATGAAGAAGTCAACTCATAATAAGGAAGATTTAAAGTGTTTCTTTGAAAATACCGACTTTCTTCACAGAATGAAAAAACGAGAACAGCAAAATATCTCCTGTCAATTAAGACAATTATAAGGAAAAGAGTACATTATGATAGAATATCATGGATTAATACTAGCTAAATTATTCAGTAAATAATGGATGTTCTATCAAAGTTATATAAATTATAAGTTATTTGAAGTTACCTGAAAATGAATTTTTTTTTTTTATTAATTGTGGTTGATATCAGGGATAATACATCCTGATCAGGACATCCCCAATATAATCTCCCAATATTTCATATCAAGTGTTTTACTGCTACTTTTTTATCAGTTCAATTAAATGAATCTATAATATCTAAAATCTAAAGTGTTTATATTTTTTTTTTCCTCACCAGCTGCATGAGGCTCTTCCCGCTCTGTGAGGTGATGACCCTCAGGTCCGGCTTCCGGCTGTTGACCATCTGAGGGCTGGGTGGAGGCGGAGACTTTGCCGGGACTACTTTTCCCAGGCTGTTGCCATTGGATACGGACAGGAGGCCCGGGGAGGCCCTGGCACTGATGTAACCATTAGCTGGAGAAACACACAGAGAAAATAAAAAGGGGTTAACTTTAGTGAGGTGGGAGGAAGTTTTGTTTTGGTTTGTTCTGATGTCTGCAGCGTCTCTCTCTACCTGTGAAGTGTCTCTTGTCTGCTGTGTTTGCCTGCTCTCATTAACACGTTGGAACCCTTCTGTCGCACCACATGTTCCTCATCATTTCTGCAGCTCAAACAACGTTTTTGGTTTGTTTTGTTGTTGTTTTTTTTTTTTTGGCTGTGCTTGATTTTCTGCAGCTCCTTCACATCAGAATCGTGCCAAGCTCTCCAGAACTATTTTATTCCTGCTCTCAGCATCTCTCCCTCTCTTCTCTTTTGTTTTACTCATCCCCGTTCGGTGTAAACAAAAACACATAATTGTCTTTGGACTCTTTCCTGCTGTGCGGTAAGAAAATATCCTATTTAGCAGGTCAGGTTCATGGTCATTAAACCTTTCTCTGAAAAGCAAAAAGGTTTTCATTATGATCTATAATTATCTAGTTTCAGTTTTACCAATTAAATGTGTTTTAAATATTCATTAAAGGTTAAATTCTTTAATTGTTTACCTATTAAACAGAATCACAATTTCAGTAGAAAAGTAAGTTGAAAATCTGTTAAAACCTCACAAATAACAAACAATTATTTTATTTTTTTGCTTTAATGTGATGTTTTATAGTCAAATAGCAACATTTATATTTATTTAAATAAAAGCCAAGTTTTGTTCAACAAGGAATAGACCAGTAGGGATTTTCTTGTTGTAAGTTTGCCACCAGTAGGTGACAATATCAGATGTTTATTTGATCACATTAATATCTGGCAAATGGTTTTTAGAAAACTTGAAACTAAGCAACACTATTTATCTACAATACGGCACTAAGGTGAGCAAAACTCCTGATTGTATCCTTAATTCTATTAAGGACTAAATAAAAGATTTACATCAGAATTTTCAGAGGATGAACAATTGATTCAGATAGGAGCAATAATATTTCCTCCCTGTTGACTAAATACAGGCAATCTGCAGGCAAACAGATATTGAAGGTAATATCTTTAACCTTTAAACTGTTAGAAGAAATGTATATTTTATTTTTATTTTTCATGCACCTGAACTGTGTTTTGCTTTTTTAACTAGATCCATAACTTGCTGAACTTTGACCAGGATTTTAACTGAACTTTGACCATTAATTTTAACTGAAATGAACCAATCAAGCTGTTCTAGATCCAGAGGAACCTTCAAAACTTTGCTTTGGTTATTAGAGTAAAAGAATATGTAACATTTATTGTTACTATTTTAATAAGGATATTTTAACTTCATATTAATAGAATATATAATTAGTAGTTTTCTTTAGATTTTGCAGTTTCTTATTTTTACCAAAACCCCGACCGTCTAATAATGTGATGTCAGCTGATTGGTTAATTAGTTAACGGTTTAGGTGGAGCCAGTAGTAAAAAGCTTCATAGAAATATGGCTTATAGATTGACACGTTTAGTTTAAACCAGTGTTAATTTCAAACCCATAAATCTTTGCAACCAGCTAAACTAATGCAACACCCTTCTGCCTGGACCGCCTTCAAAAATGTTGCTAGAGCTCTGTGGATGGTGCAAAACTCTGCTGCTGGTATTTTCACTAAAGCAGGGAGAAATGAACATAAGACCACAATTACATCAGAGTTCTCTGGTGAACCTATTATACTTGTTGATTTTGTCAACAAGGGAGCGACAGTGGTGTAGAATGCATGAGGTTGCCCTGCAACTGAAGGGTTGTTGGTTCAAGCTCTGGCTTTCAATTTCTTGTGTCTTTGGGACAAGACAATTCATCTGCATTGACTACTGATGGTGGTCAGAGTGCCTAATGGCGCCGGGGTTCAGCAGCCTTGCTTCTGTCAGTGAGCCCCATGGCAGCTGTGGCTACAGTGTAACTTGCCACCACCAGTGTGTGAGTGAATGGGAGAATAGGTGAAAGACTGAATGTAGTATAAAGCATTTGGTCAAATTTCCTGACTTGGAAAAAGCACTATATACACGTACAGGTCATTTACCGTGGACACTTTGCTGCCCTCTGCTCTGAAATTGGCCTTTTTTCTGTGTCTAAGGTCAGGAAACTCACTGGTGCTAAGAAAGTTCTGTCATCTGGGGAACCTAAACATCTGGATGTCAGACAGGCATGGTCTTTGTATGTTATTAAAGAAAAGCTAAAGATGAAGTTCTTCTATCTATCTATCTATCTATCTATCTATCTATCTATCTATCTATCTATCTATCTATCTATCTATCTATCCATCTATCCATCTATCTATATCTTTATTGTAACCCTTGTCACAAGAACAACAAAATAAAAAAAGTGCCATCAATCAGTGCATATGCTTAAAAAAATAAAATAAATCACTGTCCCACAATTTACACACAATAAAAGAAATAAATAACAACTAACGATACAAAACAACTAATAAATAAGAATAGCACATTCTCACACACATCATCCATGATGATTAATGTTTATTTTTGGTTGCTTGTTATATTTACTTGAGTATATTTAAAAATATATTTTTTTTTACTTTTTAATCAACCAGATTTCTGTTGGAACATTGTTAGTCTAACCTGACTAAATATTCTAGTTACTCTACCCACTATGATGAACCTGAGTTATTTGGAGATCAATAGAGAATATAGTAAATGGTAGATATTCTAGCTGGATGTTCTTTTTCTTTTTTCACATATATACATAACCTATAGGAATGCTTTTTCTTTTCTTTTGCTCTAATTTCATATTTATTTGGACTTTTTACTTTTAGTATTTCATTGACATATTAAAACTTGCACATAGCTTTTCATCTGATAACATTTTAAACATTAAATCAGATTTTATGAACCAACAATTATTCAGTACTTGAGGAGCCATTTAACCAAGTTATGTTTATTTCTTAAATATAATTTCTTACACAAATGCTTTCTATGACAGCAGAAGTAAAAAAAAAATTCAAGTAGTGCTACTGAATTTTGGACAGTCCTCCAACATCTGGTGATGTAGGTGGACATGCATTTTTTCTTCTTTTTTTTAGTGCCTCTGCAGGACTTTGATGGAAGCAGGTGGGGGATGGCCTTCACTTTTATTTCATTTAAAGTATCGACACTGGAGGAATCGTACAAAATCAAATTATGTATTTTGAACTGAATATTATAAATGCTGTATCCAAACTTTACAACAGCTTTGGTTTTATAAAGTTTTTTGTTGTAAAGAAATTTCTATATTTGGGCGTACTGGAAACTTGATTTTTAAATTAATGTCATGAATATAATGACAAAAATTGATTTAAGTGTCAGATTAACTCCAAGTCAACATTCAAAGTACAGCACAACGTGCAGCTGAGATAATTTACCTCCCTGCTGTTAAAAAAAAGTGCTTCAATTAGTAACAGTACGTGTGGACAAGCTTGTTAAAGTCTCTCCATTAGGTCAGAGAAGGAAAATATAGAAATATTAATATAAGAAGCTGTTATTTTGCTGTAAACAGAGCGTCTGCTTGCTTTCTGTTGAAAAAAACAGGCATTCAATCAACAGGACAGGCCACGTTTCACACTGTACCATTGAACACACCTGGCTTTGAAACGGCACAACTGCCACATTCCTGGCCCTTTCACTGCAACACAACCGTTGCTCTAAGGTTAAATAGGGCCTGAAACACGCCACGTTACACTGCATGGCGTGTTGCAGCAAAACAACCCAACCTCAGTCAATTTTCCTTCTTTTTATGCTTCCTTTTCCACATTTTGATTCTTTCCACAGCAATCGTAGATTTGACCTGCCGCCTATCAACATATGCTGGTTTAATGTGCTTTACAAGTAACTTTTTGGTGTAAAATAAGATGTTTGGGAGGCGAAGGATGACGGCGGAGAGGATGGCTGAGTGCCATGACAACAAGCCTCCAGCAGTCTCCAGTCTGTCTTTGGTTTTGAGGTTAAAAGACAAGTCTACTGAAATGGAGACTGAATCACAGCTTATGAAGGAGGGACAACGGGGACTTTCCCACACTGTGACACACACCACTGCAGTATTCTCATCTGATGGGTGGAGGGTTGTGTTTGATAGCAGATAGCACTGCTCCATGACGCCGCCTCCAGACGACAGTGGCATGTGACTCTGCTTCATCTCACTTACACACACAGAGGCCATTAACACAACCTGACAACAACAACAAGTCAACGCTATCTCTGATATCAGCTCAGAGAGAGGGAGGCATGGCAGGAGAGGAAGGGAGGAGGGTGAGGGGGGGGACACAGCAGGAAAGAAAGAATGAGGAAGAGAGGACCACAAAGGAGGAGGAAGTTTAAACAAGGCGAGAAATGATTTAGTTGTTAAGTAGCTATAGAACCACAAACAGAAAAATACTGAGGGGATTTGGTTTGGTTTGTACGGAAGAGGATTAGGGCCAGTGGGGAAAAAAAAGTTAACTGATTTTTAAATTTTATTTCAGTATAGAATGGGGAAAAAGTCAGAATTCTGACTTTTTTCTCACAATTCTGACTTTAATCTCAGAATTGTGACTGAATTCTGACAATAAAAAAAAGTCAGAATTCTGGGATTAAAGTCAGAATTCAGAGAAAAAAGTCAGAATTCTGACTTTTTCCCCATTCTATA